TTGACACGACTAATGTGTGATCTGTAAAAAAAGGCTATTGGAAAAAGTACTTCTACTAGGATCACCTACTGTTAATAATCGAAAACCGCTCGGTTATTTTTCAAAATTCGCATTGTCGTGGTGAAAGAAAAGGTTTTCTAGATGCAAGGATTTCTTTTGCAGTGCTTCGATGCGAAGAACTTTTGTCGCATTTGGCTCATTTAGGAACACCCATACAGTCGAGAGCTGCTTACTTTCGAGCTCATATGTATAAATCTACTATTCACTAATTGTCACAAGGTCAAAGCACGGTTTTCGTATTTCTTTTTACATTTCTCTCGAGCAATCGACAGGAGTCTTTTTTTTAGAGATCGACATATTGTGTGAGATCTAACGTTAAAAAAAAAATTCAACAATTAAATGTTCAAAGAATTGAGTGTATGCTGGTCCCTCTAATGGCTGTAGTTGTCTCAATCTCACCATGGGTCACATTACGATCTTGCAATATTAGTTTATACAAAGCATCTATTGTTTCTTTAACAACTACTTTTTTTGGACGACCTGACCAAATTCGTCTTGTGTTGATCTACAATCTGGATGGAATTTACCATACCATCGATAAACACTGGTCCTTAATGGAAAGTTCGCCCGAAAACTTTAATTAAGTGCATCGATACATTTTTGCAGAGATAATCCACGTCGAAAGTTGTAAAAAATAATTGCGCGAAATGTTTGCAATATTTTTGGGTACAGATGAATATTTTGAACACAACACACATCGCAATCTTATTCTGAGTATGTATGAGTATACTAAAAAACATTTCCATAAAGCAATAAAGATAAAGTTGTGCGTCGCCTTAGTGCAACACTAGGGTTGGCAAATCCCGAAATATAAAATATATAAAAATTCTTTACATTGGGTAAAGGGACTTCAACCATAAAATTGAATAAAAAAAACTGAAGGCAATTGAATTTTTTCAATTTTCAATTGTTCATAAAATTTTTTTTGATGGCTCATGCCCAGCTCTYGACCGATGCTACGGCAGCTACGGCTGCTACTATGCCGCTCTCTTTCGACCAATTCAGCGATTTTAACGCTATTTTCGACGACAGGCCTTCCGGAGCGTGGCGCTTCTTCGACCACCACCGGTGGAAATGGAAACTGTATCGGGTCCATAAACTGCACAAATTTTATTGGCGGCTTGACATGCATTTTTGCCTTTATCGTAGTAGTACTGTATATGCCGTATTTTCTCTTTATTTTGCTCCATGTTTGCGACGCTATAACTCACGAATGACTTAAAAGAAACGACAATCAATCAAACACGTGTTAGCGCGTGAAATGAGATTTCTAAAAAGGTATAGCATGACCCGATGCGACGAATAAAACTAGAAATACGCGCTCTCAGCGCCAACTAGCGAAAATACCGCAAGACTTTTTTGACAACCTAATATAATAGAGCATATAACTGAACAATGTTTTTAGAGTTTTGAAAAATGCGTTTATTACCTATCCAATCTGATCCAGAAAAAGCCCCATAAACCGATTGTGAGTTTCATCCGGTTGATGTCTTATTGTCTAGAATATACCCTATTTTTTCATAACATTTTTTGCCAAATCTGTGCTTTATATTTTTTTGTCATAACACCTGCAGAAGAAAAAAATATAAGCGTATCTTGCAGAACAGTAGTTGTTCCATGTGATTATCGTAATAAATGCTCAATAACTGTCTTAATAAATGTTCGATAGGACATGACAATGTTCACTATAAAGTCAATAATCTGATGTGCAGTCAAATAACGTGTGCTTGAATCAAGTAATCATTTGTAAAACAGAATAATTACAAGTATTTGCCGGCAGAAAACTTTTCTAATAATTCAGGAAAAGTAGGTCATTTTGGGCGGATATTAAGCTGGGTTCTTTAGAATTACGAAGACTATCGGAAACCTTTCCCACAGCAGACAGGGTGTAGAATTTGACCGCGGTAANGAAGACTATCGGAAACCTTTCCCACAGCAGACAGGGTGTAGAATTTGACCGCGGTAAGGTATGTCTGTCRTACGAGGCRACTAAAATCCAATATGCACTATGTCTGTYATTTWGCTTRCCTTGAARTATCAGCAYAGTCTTGTMAGAKAGTATAGTGCTGTAATACTCARCTTGAAGTGATGTTACAGATTTTGAAAGAGATTCCWTCTAATGAAAAGACGTTTGAAGTTTAAGGGACAAATGTCATCAGTCCTTGAGTTCGAAGGGTGTTCTACTAGTAGTAGGAAAGGCGACAARGGTTCACCGGATACATAAATCTGGTATCACAGAAGCAATTGGCGCTTGGAGTTCGCTCCAATCTGCTCATCGGTTTTGGTACTCTGTGGAAATTTTTGGTGGCTATAGTTTAAATTTWAAAGCAAGTATAATTGAAAATTTAGTTCTGTGTGGAGTCGCACTGCGGACGGGTGTTGAACCAAGAGCTTGACCACGTTTTATTCCGGAAAAGGTATAAACAGGACTTTTTGAACCTAAAACCCCTGGGGGCGCCATCCATATGTTGACTGCTGCGTTAGAATCTGCTATCTTTATCGATTGTCCAGTAAGATTGTTGTTAGTTATTGCATTTTAAGTGTCAGTATGTGTGTGTTATCGGTGTGAAAATGAGCTTCGAACAAAGAGACAACATTAAATTTTGTTGTAAAATTCGTAAAACTTTTACCGAAACGTTTCACTGGATGAAACAAATTTATGGCGATGATTCCCTATCCCATAGCGGAGTGCAAAGTGATTTTAACGTTTTCAAAATGGTCCTGAGGACATAAATGACAACATGTGGGCCAATCAAAATCCGTGATCACCGAAAATTTCATCGGAATTTTGCGTGAATTTATCAAAAATTAGATGAAATCCTCATTGAAATTCATGGAAATGGAATTGAACACCTCCAAAAWAGCGATTTATCGCATTTTGAGCGAAATTTGGGCTTACGAAAGGTGTGTGACGGTTTGTTTCGCACAAATTGACTGACGAACAAAAATTGCTTTGAAGGACATCATTGYGATCGATTATTTGACCAAAAATCGCATTTTAACCGTTAACCACTCCCCGTATTCGCCTGATATGGCACCGTGTGACTTCTTCTTTTCGGAAAAATGCATTTGCCCATGAAAGGAAAGCGTTATGCAGACATATTATCAGTACCCATTAAGTTGTTGTGTGTATGCCAAGGTTTTCCSGTCTTTTAAAGATTTTCTCAAATTAATACCTATAAAAAACGTATTTTTGTTAGATAAACTTTTATAATAGTAATTTCATGTCGATGTTTGAATGAATAAGTTCTACTTGCGTGTGTGYCCCGGACCGAACAGAGTGACTGCGCTTTCTCATTATTTGTAGGTTATTCCAATTATATAGTGATAAGACACACCTCTTAATAATATGTAAAACATGTATCTACAGTTACCAAATTTGTGTTTTCTGTCTTAAAATATGACTAGAAGCAAACTGCCTCGCTGTTTGTCKGTCCATCTGAGCAAGCTGACCGATTGAACAAAATTCTGTTTGTGTYCCTTATCAAATCTTCCTGACATATTAAAAATAATGATAGCAATCGGATCCAAACCATCACCATGTGTGTTTTTTCACTTAAGTGTGTTTTGCCCAATCCACAAAAATCTGCGCCGACTACTGTAGCATCAGTCTCCTCAACATCGTATATAAGGTTCTCTCAAGCGTATTGTGTGAAAGATTAAAGCCCACCGTTTGACTCGATTAGTGTGACTTTAAATCTGGAAAGCTAACAACTGACCAGATATGCACCGTGCGCCAAGTCTTGGAAAATAATAGAAATTCCATTCATCAGCTCTTCGTCGATTTCAAAGCTGATTTTGACTGCTGCCTTATGCCGCTATGGCTAAATTTGATAATCTCGCAAAAGTAATACGGCTGTGTAAACTGACGTTGAGCAATACCTAAAGCTCCGTCAGGATCGGGAAGGATCTCTTCGACCCGTTCGACACCAAACGRTGTTTCAGACAAGGAAACTCCCTATCGTGTGATTTGTTCAATCTATTGCTGAAGAAAATTGTACGATGTTTAGAATTAAGCAGGGAAKGTACCATCTTCTATAAGAGTGTACAGCTGTTGGCGTATACCTCTAATATTGATATCAATGGCCTTAACAACCGCATCGTTAATTCTAATTTCTCCAGAATAGATACGAAAGAGAAGCAAATAGGTCCGGAAATATCTCCTGTCTTCAAACAAACAGTCATCGCATTCGCGACTAGGCTCTTACGTCACTGTTGGCAGTCATAACTTTGAAGTCGTAGATAATTTTGTCTATCTTGGAACCAGCATTAACGCAGTGAGACTGAGTTGTGGAAAGTTTTAATTGTYGCTTGGTTACACCTTATACATGTTTTACTGCTTCTTTAGAAAAGAAACACGCTTGCCGTTTTGTTTGGAGCTATCTTCAGTACWGGTTTGTTTCTAAAGAAGCCTGTTCGTGTTCCTATTACAGCCTATAATACTATGTCCACAGTGTCGCAGTGCTGAATACTGAAGATGACCTCCAGAGTCTTTGCTGAGGTAGTCTTCATATTTTTCGTCGGATTTCGTGATTATAATCCACAAGTGGTTGTAAAGCAATTGAGTCATGACTAATGATTCTTTCGTGCCTGAATTATAGGATGTTTATGTCGACGATCCTTGGTTTTATCAAAACGGTGCTATATGACATACGGTCAACGAAACAATCAAGCTAGCGTGGCCTCCAAGATCATGCGTTTTCACACTGCTGAAAGTGACATACTAACATACGGCTGACATTGGACTTTCCGGTAATTTTTCGAACCAGTCAYGGCGGTTAATTGCCCGAAATCATATTTGAAACATAACAGCTAAGGCTTATCTTTGAAACTACATGTTTAAAAACACTTTTTAGAACAAATAAATAATCCTCTAAATCACCGGCTCTCTTYGGGTCAGTTACAAATCATATAATTAAAAGTATAGTTATTTCTTTTTATATAAAAGTTTAATTAGTATTTAATCCATTCTTTATAAAAGAAGTTAACAGTAAACTAAATGGCTCATCTGCCTTTCTTGATGAGCACTTTACGTAGGAACTTCCCCGCCACACGAAACAGATGACCAATTTGTGTGGCGCTGCTGCGCGCACCCAAAGATGCCGCATATGTGGCTTGCTGATGTCGCCTGAGCCACTCGTAAATCTGATTATTGAATTTGTCCAGAAAAGTCTCGCTGATTTTTACTTTCCGACCAATACGCGGCGAATTTGCAGCAATAAGGGTTTTTTCGCGGCCCTCCTTTGCCAGCTCAGCGGCAATCATATTGCGCAAATTGAGAAACTGTAAATAGTAAAGAGATAATAAATAAGTCTATATGTATAAAAGTATTTCAAATATTTTCAACAATCTGTTGTGTAAGTTACCTGTTCGTAATTCGAACGCTTCAGGTATTCTGCAATGCGGTTAAAGTTCTCAACAAACAGTTGCGAACGACACAGCACGCGATAATTGCTTTCAAAGAATGTCCACATAACGGGGCGTGCGACATGATTACTTTTGAACAAATAGAATAAATACATCATGGACTCGTTGTCGTTCATAATTTTAGTCGAGTTCTCGCCCAGCAAGAAATTCAGATACTGCTGCAGATGCGAATTACTCTGCGTACAACGTAACGAGTAAATAAGATCATCATACCACAATGTGTCGCGTTGCGTTTCACCGAATAGTTTCAGTATGGCGTTGAATTCTTCATCGCTTAGATATTTAACGCCTAAACAGAGAATYGTCTCATACATGGCATAGTAGCTCATATCGTTGTTGAATTTTGTATTACCGAATATGTATTCGTGTGCCAGATTGTGGGTGTAGTCGAGACACTCTCTCAGATCGACGAAGCAAGCCATTTCCATAATCTTTTGTCTAGCCAGCGTTTCGGTATTTGTAAGATTCTCAGCCAACGGCATTTCGTAGAGTCGTCGAAACATTGGTCGAATTAGTTGGCGCACAAAGTGCGTGTACAATTTGTATGCGGGCGTACCAAAGAGATTCTTGCCAAGAGAGGTAATTGTGTCAGCCACTTGATTCCAAGGCATGAGATTGTCCTCATATTGCAGATAATTTAATAGTTCAAATATCACATCCACTGATTGTATTTCATTATTCTCGATTAGTGGTCCTAGGTCTTGAAAGATAGCTGCACGATTAAGTGGATGTATAACCGTGTGATTGTCGTGCAATTGTTTGGCGATCAGCCAGAGATTCGCATCATTATAGAGTACATGATAAAAGCCTGTCTGCTGCTTATTCACGATGAGCCAATCGTGTATGCCCAACTCAATACCCAATTGGCTGGCGTTCAATGTTACCTCCTCCAGTGGCGGCATAAAGTAACCAACGCTAGTGTTCTCGAATTCTGCTGCGGATGCACTTGCGAAGTTTAACGGTATCCACCAGTGTTCACGCGAGTGCTGATCTTTCGAACGTTGTTTTATTGTTATGGTATTGCTTATGTAATCGCGTGCTATGCTCACGATCGGTATCCATTCACTGTGCGTCCATGAGAGCATGATATCGCGCACGGCGTCTTGACTCCACGCRTGCTGACTGAAGGTGGGATCCGCAGCCACAGCTGTTTGTATTTCATCGAAAAGATTCAACTCATTCGCAAAAGTATATTGACTTGAGAGAGGGGGGAAAATTTCTTCATATTAAATGTTATTGAACAGTTCTTTTAAAGTATCACTGAAACTTTCGTTTACAGAAGTGGAACTTACTATTTGCGCAAATACTGACTGATGCCATGTACGAACGTTTTCTGATTGAAAGCGTGATGGAACATTTTGATCACACAAGCGGCTGCAAGTATAATTATAAATATGTATGTCAATGTGGAATTTATGACTTAACCAGTTGCTAATGGAACAAAATCTTTGCAAAATGTTTACAACTGGGAGTTTGACTTTTGGGAAAATTGTGGAAGCATTAAGCTCCCGTTGGAATTAGGCAAAAAAAAAAAAACCTTTAAGGTTTGTTATGGTAAAAATAAAGCCACTGCCCGATCATGAATAAGTTTGAATAGCAATTACTTGTCTGAAGAACAACAAAGCGGCGGGAGCCGATGGAATGCTGGCTGAGCTATTCAAATACGGCGGCGAAGAGYTGAKAAGRAGCATGCATCAACCTTTTTGTAGAAACTGGTCGGACGAAWGCATGMCAAACGATTTGAATTTAAGTGTACTCTACCTAATCCACAATAAGGAAGACGCCAAAATCTGCRCCAACTGCCGTAGGATAAGTCTCCTAAACATCGAATTAGGGTCCTATCGAGCGTATTGTGTGAGATATTAAAGCTCATCGTCAACAAACTGATTGGACCTTATCAGTATGGAGTGGAAAAGCAATAACTGACCAGATATTCACAATCTGCCAAATCTTGGAAAGGCCTCGTGAATCGGCATACACCACTTCCGTCGATTTCAAAGCTGCTTTTGGCAGCACGAAAAGGAACTGACTTTATGCCGCTATGTTTGACTTTGGTATCGCCGAAAATAATAAGAGTGCTATTTTGTCTAAATAGAGAATTGAGAACTAAAGACTTCTCTCGGCGAACAACGACCAAATTCTACAAGTCATTAATTATCCCCGTCCTGCTATATTGTACAGAGACATTGACGATGACAATATCTGATGAATCGACGAGTTTTCGAGAGAAAGGTTCCGCGAAATATTTATGGTTCTATGCGCATTGGCAATGGTAAATAACGCAGTTGATGGAACGATGAGCCGTACGAGATATACGACGACATCGGTCAGTTCARCGAATTAGCGTCTAGAATGACTAGGTAATGTCGTCCAAATGAATGAAAATCCTCTGGCTCTTAGAGAGAGACCAAATGAAGAAGGACYTGACTACTCCTAAAATCTACAATTGGCTTCTACATGCGAAAAGGAAGAACGACTGGYGTGCTGTTGTCAACTCGTCTATGTCCTCGTAAGAGGTGTCTACGCTAATATAGAAGAAGGTTTAAGACGGTAAGATGACAATGTCCTAGCCAAACGAGTTAGAAACGAGTAGGAAACATTAGGTGATAAAGATTGTTGCCAAATATAAGAAGAGCTCGTAGAACCTTTGGAAGCCACTTAAGCAGCCATTTCAAAACGTTTAAAAGCAACCGGATACGTTCAAAAGCAAGAAAGTTGGAAATGGTGCTTGGACGCTACTAAAAAAAAAGTCGTTTTTGCATCGGATTGTGACTGATAGTGACAAATTACGACAACCCTAAATGTCAAAAATCATATTTGAAACCTAGYCAATCTGCCAAATCAGCAGCCAAGCCTGGTATCTGGTGGGATCAAAAGGGCGTGGGACGAGGAACGCTATCGATAACAATTCATCTAATTGATGGGGGCGAATGAAACTACCCACGAGGCAATRGATTTTCATCATGCCAACGCTCTGTCTCATGTTAAAAAACTATTTGGAAGACAGTGGTTGAGAAGTTTTGTCTCACCCGCTTCACAGACCAGACCTTGTCCCTTCGGATTAGTATTGGTTCCGGTCTATGCAGACGTCCTCACAATACGGCTCACATTAGAAAAGCATAGCAAAAATTGCCTTAATTTGTTCTTTTCCGTAAAGACGGCGCAGTTATTTTGGGTCGGAATTTACACATTTTCAGAAAGATCGAAAAATACAACTCATCAGATGTTGTCATCGTCCATGACTCTGCACCATATAGCAGGGCGGGAATAATGAGTGACTTATAGAGTTGGGGTTTGTTCGCCGAGGACTTTACTTCTCAATTGCCCACTCAGTCCGAAGTAGCACCGATAAATAAGGTTTTCGTGCTGTCAATGATAGCTTTGAAATCGACGAAAAGGTGATGTGTGTCGATTCTCTACTCACGGGTCTTTCACAAAATACGCTCAATAGTAACTTATATGCGATGTTTAGAAGACTTATCCCATCGTAGCTGGCGCAGATGTTGGGGTCTCCCTTTTTGTAGATTGGCAGAGAACACTTAAATTTCAATCGTTGGGTATGCTTTCGTCCGACCATATAAGATTACAATTTCATATGGGCAATACTGTCAATAATACTGTAGTACATATGATTCTTATAGAGGCTCTCGACTCGGATACACCTTACTTCTATTTAAAAGACGTTTTTCGAGTCTGAATCTGAATCACAGTGTAGAAACAAAGGCCATTTACTGTTAAAAGAAACTCATTCGGTGTTTAGTGGTTTTAGCAGGAGTTCTTCTTTTCTATGGCTTCATTAAGGATTACATATATAGCAGTCCAGTTGCTTTCTTTCATCAGCCATCTAACCTAAATTAAGCAATCTCAAATTTGCAAGGAAAGCTGAGCAATTAATTCAAGTTTTGGAAACCAAGATACATATTGAGACCAGAAATATAGGAACCAACCTCTGTGATAGGATATAATGTCGAATGTTGACAAAATGGCAGTCTCGTTTTCCACATAGTAAGTCATCGGACGTACGGTCATATAGTTGTAACTGTAGGCACGTTCAGCACTATCGATCAAAAAGAAGTCCATGATTTTATACTCGGGGTAAAGCTGTACAAAAATGAAAAACGAATACAGTTATGTTTTATGATACMTAAACAACAAATTACACACTTACTAAATCGGTGACCAAATAACCAAAATAGGTGGCAAAACCCTCATTCAGCCATGCGTATGTCCACCACTGCGGCGATACTAAGTTGCCAAACCATTGATGTGCGATTTCGTGATTCTGCGTTATCACATCCTTCAAGTTCTTATGCATATCCGCGTCATCCGGTTTCGCCAGATTGTCCTCTTTATAGGTAATTAAACCCCAGTTTTCCATAGCCGCACCGAAGTTATTCTTCAGCGCGACATGATCTAATTTCGCCAACGGATAATCGACACCAAGGAAATCCTCCAACATGGCGACTGTACGAACGGCATTCTTCAATGCCTTTCGACCCCTATCAGCGAGGCGTGGTGAGGTGAAGATGCGCTGCTGAACGCCGCGATATTCCTCCGAAATATACACGAAATTGGAGATGACAAATGCGACCAGGTATGTCGACATCGGTGGAGTGGTGTGGAATGTGGTTGTCACCATTGTGGCATCAACGCTGCTGTACACAAAAGTAAACAAGTGGTACTGTCAGTTAAAGGTGAACCTATGTGTGTATGTATGTGTGACTGCGTATGTGAATGAATAGCTTGGCGGATGGAATAAACTGATGAGCAGTTGTTGAATGCGGTTTATTAATTGGCCTTCACAGGCCACCAACATGTAGGTAAGTGTATGTGTGAGGATATGTTGAAGAGTGTGGGATTACTCAATTGTGTCTACACAGTACTTACTTGCCATCGAGTGCAGCATTTGCGTCAATGCTCGGTTCAGTTTGACGCACCATCATGTTCGAGATGGCCGTGTATTTGTTGCTGTGCGTGAGGCTTATTGTGAAGTTCGCTTTGAATGATGGCTCATCGTAACAGGGGAAGGCCAAGCGTGCGCTTGTCGGCTCAAATTGCGTCGCCGTCACATAACTGGTTGTAGTTTAGTGATTAAATTGAAAAGAAATGGAGATAGAGATAGRGAGCGGTGATTAGTTTGATGTCTGCCCATGGTGGCGTATACGTTGCAAAACGTGGAACAGTATTTCTGCTTATCGCAAGCTTCTTTGGAAGTTTTAATTAAATTGTAGTTAAACAGAAACTTCGGCTATATCGAAGCCATAATATTTATCATAGCTGTATTTGTTTTAAGATAGAAGGGTTTAAAAAGCTCTTTATCATGATTTTTATTGGTAAGATTGTGTGACAGTGTTATCTAGAGCAAAAATCCTTACCGTATTTCATAAAGAAATCTCGTCAAATAAAAAGTTTTCCATACCAGCACTATATACTGTACATACAGTTGTAGTATGCTAAAGTGATTTCTATAAATTTACAGTTTCTTGCGGAAGAAACACGTTGTAAAATTTCATATCGATATCTTAAAAACTGGGAGACTAATTGGCGTATGTCTAGACAGACAGACGGAAATGGCTAAACCGACGCAGCTCGTTGCAATAAGATAAAAAAGATAAAGATAAAGGTAATGCAGTCCAAAAAGATAAGTACGTCACATWAAATTGGTCCCGGGCACCGTTGACCTTTTTTAATTTTACTTAGTAACACTAAGTATATGTTATGCATAAAATTCGCGTTTTTTTGTGAAAATGAACTACTAATTTTGAATGGGAATAGAAAAAAATCAAGTAACGAAGACTAAGTTCAGGTACCGGGTTCAGGTAACCGAACATTTTGTACTCTCTCAACTTGCAATAAAAAAAAAAAAAAACATGGAAACACTTTAAGGTGTAATCCTCGAAACAATTGTTAACGTCAATTTCCGGTATAGCGCGTAGCGATTGACGTTTAATGTCGGAGCGATCGTTTGAGTTTGTTGAATAGCCAGAAGTCACACGGAGSTAATTTAGATGAATACAGTGGTTACGGCACGATATTTGTTGAATATTTAGCGAAAAACTCACGAAGAATCAACTCAGTACGTGACATTAAACATCATCATATATCATCCTGGTATAAAAACCAAGAGTTGTTGTCCATAATTCCGGCATCTTTTACGAATTCCTTGTTGATAGTTTGGCCGGATGGAAGGAATATGTTTCCGGGTCGTAAGCATAGATCTAACACTCATAGCCAATAATAATACGTTTCATGATATCTTGGTGGTCGGAAAGCATTATTTCAAACACGTTAACGCCGCGGTGGTTTTCGAAAAAATTTAATGATTTTGAAACCATCGTGCAAATGAAGCTTCTTAGAACCAAGTGATCTCTCAAAATGGTTTTCACTGATCTTTCCAATTATTCAACGATGCCAGTAAGATCTCTGAATGTTAATCGTCGATTCTCAAGCACCAATTTCTTTATTTTATTGACATGTTGATCATTAGCTTATGTTGATGGCCGTCCTGGACGTGATAAGTCGTCAACGCGTTCTCGACCCCCTTTGAATAATTTGTACCACTCAAAATCACTTGTTCGCGACAAATAATTATGAGCGAAAACATTTTCCAACATTTTGAATGTTTCGGCATCAGAAATTTGATTACGCACACAAAATTGGAACTTCTTTGTTGAATAATAATAATTTGGCACAGATTTTCTTGACAGTCATACGAGCCTAGACACAAAATATTTTAATTTATGTATATATAACTGCTTGGATTTCGATCTTCTAGTTGACGTTTTACACTTTAAGATATTTCCTTGGCTTTAATTTCTGCAAGTTGCAAGAGTATAAAATGTGCAGCCGAACTTAGCTCTTCCTAACTTGTTATACATAAAAATAAACTCGAAGGCTTTTATTGAAGCAGAAGGTGATTTAAGTTGCGTTATTTCCATCACTGCGGAAGAAACTTGGATCCAGTACCACTGGTACCATAGAAAGTTTGTCATTTTTCGGAATATATGAAACGGTATTATTTTAGATACAGGTGGCGCAAAAATAAAAATAACCTTCCGATGTTTTTTGACTGTAATTTAAAAACAAAAAAAAAAACCAAAAATGAAAAACTTTGATTCTGCTTGTGGATTATTTTTATTTGGTCTTTTAAAGTTTTTTTACATCAATTCGAGAATATGATATCATGTAAATGGCCGCCGCCACAGTTGATTGTCATTTGAGCCCTTTTTATGGCATTTGCCATCACTTTGGCCAAAACTTCCGGTGATAGGTCCTTAAATTCTTGATTGTCTTTAAGAGCTGCAAGAGTCTGAGTCTTCTTGACATAAACCCGTGACTTCAGAAAGCCCAACAAAAAGAAGTCTAGAGCGATCAAATCAGGCCATCTTGCTGGCGCGTGCAAATCGCCAAAACGGGAGATTAGGCGCGAGGGAAGTGCATCCTTCCGCATACCGGTTGTGGCACTTGCAGTATGTGCCGTTGCACCGTCCTGTTAGAACTACTTTGCTAATCCCAATTTATCAAGTTGCGGCAAAAAGCACTCGTTGATCATTGCTCTATAGCGCTCACCTCTCACAGTAACCGTTTGGCCCGCGACGTCTTCGAAGAAAAAAGGTCCGATGGGTCTTCAAGCGAAAACAGCATACTGTACAGTGACTTTTAGCGGGTTTAATGGCTCTTCGTGGGTTACACGTGGATTTTCAGTGCCCCAGAAGCGTAAATTTTGCTTATTTACATACCTGCTATGAAATGGACCTCAACACTTATGATTATTTTTGATGAAAATCATCCTCCTCTTGGTGGTGATTAAGGATGGYTTGAGCGTATGTTAGACGCAATTGGCGGGCAGCAGCTAATATCTGATGCACCGTCTGTGCTTTGTACGGAAACATCTTCAAATCTAGTACTAAAATTCGCCGTAAACTACGTCGACTGATACCCATTTKCGTGGCACGTCGTCTGGTCGATATCGACGGCGCTTCCATGACATTCTCGGCAACAACAGCAATATTCTCTGCAGAAGGGCTACTCCGGAATCTGCCATGGCAGACAACATTTCGTGTTGTGCCAGTGTCTTCGAGGCGAGCGGCTAAACATCGCAGTGTTTCACCAATAGGCGTCGGACGGTCAGGAAATCTGCGACGAAATTCACGTTGTATCAAAGTCACCGACCAATTATTGGTCAATTAAATAGTCACCAATAACCCGCATTCTGGAGCAAATCTCAAAACAGAACTGACATTAGTGTCAATTGCAAAGTTTATAGCATCTTCTGATAGGAGCATCACTTTTGCACGGTACRTTCTACACATTAATCAAAGTCTCGAAAGTTCACTATTTTTGCGCACCAATAAGCAATATTAAAAAAATTAACAAAGAACTTTTGTTTTTCCAATGAATTAACAGTTTTAGAATCGGCCAAATGTTTCGGCTGTGTATATTTTTTAACGAACTCAAGTAGTTGGGTGGCACACAACATATGTATTATATAATGAAGATCGTGAAAACAGCGACAACTGGTCTAATTTAAGGCGCTCTATACTATATAAGCATTAGTAGGACTAGTATACTTGTAYATTCAATRTTGCATAAAWATTTGACTGTAAAMAATTTGTTCATGCCGGACCCCATACAATTTGCTAAAAAAAAGAGGCTCGTGTCGATTGGACGAAAGAAGTGTTAGAAAAATAGGAGAACGGTGCTTCGAAAACGTCTGAGCCCATAAAAACTGGACATATCGCAATCAAACTTTTATAACATCGTATGATAGTAAACTCTTCGTGYTACATAACCATATTTGTTTCAGTTATCTTTCAAGAAATCAGGAAAAGCAAACGCCAAAATTAGATCACTCTTCACCACGAGAATGCTAGCCCTTACACACCAACAGAAACCACTGCATTTTTTAGCATGAATGAATCCTATTTATTCCCGTTCGTAAAAATCAAACTAAGAAATCAACGTTTTTCGACATAATAGATTGTCAAAAAAGTCTTGCGGTATTTTTTTTTATTGAATTTTCAATTGTTCATAAACATTTTTTTGATGACTCATGCCCAGCTTTTGACCGATGCTACGGCTGCTACTATGCCGCTCTCTTTCGACCAATTCAGCGATTTTAACGCAATTTTCGACGACAGGCCTTCCGGAGCGTGGCGCTTCTTCGACCACCTCTACACCAGATCGAAAACGTTGAAACCATCGTTATGCGGTGGAAATGGAAACTGTATCGGGTCCATAAACTGCACAAACTTTATTGGCGGCTTGAGATGCATTTTTGCCTTTATCGTAGTAGTAGTGTAAAATATGCCAAATTTTTTCTTTATTTTGCTCCATGTTTGCGACAATATAACTCACGAACGACTTAAAAGAAACGACAATCAATCAAACACGTGTTAGCGCATGAAATGAGCTTTCCTTAAAGGTATAGCATGACCCGATGCGACGAATAAAACTAGAACTACGCGCTCTCAGTGCCAACTGGCGAAAATACCGCAARACTTTTTTGACAACCTAATATAAAGACGCGGTTGATGTGTTTAGAACGCATGTTTGAAGGAACAGAAAGGAACAGAGCAGAGTATTTTGAAAAACAATAAAGTGATTTGAGGTGAATAATATTTGTTTTTTTTTTTCTCTAGTCAACCGAGAGATCGTTGAAGACATTTCTTGTTCTGGAGGACCTTCGACCTTTTCAACTGGTGAAAATATTAAAACAATGAAAGATATGGTGCTTGAAAATCAAATGGCAAGGAGTTCGACATCTCTCGCGAATCCGTTTGAATGATTTTGGTGGATATTTTAGGTATGAAACGCTTTTTGCTTCTTTATTTTTTTCTTTAAAAAGAGTACCGTAAATAGGTCTCTTGGACATGCTTGATCGAGCAAATTCCGATCCCACATTCGTGGAGATCATTATAATCTATGAAAATAAGTCAACAATCATTGGTATGGTGGAAAAAAATGAGCCATGGTATTCGTGGTATGGTGCATTATGACGGACGATCAATAAGGAGTTCTATTTGGCCGTATCGAGGCGTTTGCGTGACAACATTCGTCGAAAACGGTCGGTATTGTTGAAGAACAGTTCATGGTAATGTATCATCGCATCGCGCCACGATTGTGACCGAATTTTAAGCCAAAACCATCGATCAACCACCGTATTCACCAGATTTGGCACCGTGTGATTTTGGAACGCAGTTCTTTATCGCGCGTGTTGCGACGGGGCTAGCCGAGAAATTGTGTCCCGTTAAATCTGAGCGTTAAATGCGCTGTCCCCCACTACAGTACATATACTGCACAGAGTGTGGTGTGTATAGAGTGGGCATCGCTCAACATTTACGTGCACGTGTCGTGTGTTGATTACAATTGTCACATCGGGTTGATGTATTTCCTTCACTGATAATTGCTTGATTGAATCATTATTATTATTCGGAGGATAGAACTATTTGTTGAATTTGATGGTACGAGTGAATTAAAAAAAAAAAAGAATACGAATAGTGTGTAGTGGTAGCGTCGTTTGCTTTGTTGTGTGTGTGCACGTGTCAGTGTTTACTATACCTCCAAATGCAATTAATGTGGTTGCGTTCATAAACATTTTCATTACGATTTCGTGATAAACAATGGAAAGAGAAGGAAGTGAATTGAAAAAAAACGAAAATCACGATTCGGCACCGAAATCGATGTAAGTTTATAAATAAAAAAAAAATACCAAAAATGGTGAAATTAAACTGTTCATAGCAAAAAAATGAATGTACATAATTTTGTAATTTATAAGTTTTAATTTACAGTGTTGATGAATACTTCAGCAACGAGGAAAGAAAAAGGAGGCACGCTGTGTAAAGACAATACAAATACAGTCATTACATTTGGATAGCCAACAAAAAGGGGAGGGTTACCAAACGAAGAGGAAAAYAGCCGCGCAGTACCAGAAAGAATATCGACAGAGACAAAAGGAGAAGAAAAAACAAGAATCAGAAGRATTCACGAGAACGCACASKCATAAAGAACTTCGTTCCTTACGCGTGTTCGACTATACGCTCTAGTTTTTTTTTCTGGTTTTACCGCTCCGTGGAAACCGTTTTCAGTCGATCGAAAAATATTGATGAATAATTTCATATTTAATATTTTAGGTATTATTTACTTTTTTGTCACAATGTATTACTCAAGAGTATTTCATTTTTGCAATCGAAGCTAAAACTGTTTCTTATTTTTTCGATAAATATAGTATTCGAGGGTACTTCCTTAAAAATGCTACTTTCGAAATTCGAATAATTTTAATCATTACCAGCATTTTTGTGTCATGGCAACTAAATTTCTATTGAATTCAGCACAATATTATTGACACATAAATAACTCTCGCTTATATTTTCAATTCACTGCAAAAGTATTGTTTTTGTTTGCATAATATTTTATAATTTTCACTTCTACAACTATTACTACTAATTTCATTTTTTGTTAATGTTTTTGTTTTTGTTTTATGCACACTTATCAGCTCAATTTCCTTTCACACACAAATTCATTGATAGAACTTATCAGTGGTCTGTTTGTTTTGGGGGCAATTCATCAGCGTTGAACTATGAGACACCCGCTAAACATATGCCTATACATAGKTGTACATATGTACATATATACAGCGACATATTGCCATATGTAAACATAATTGTATGTACAATGTATGTGTGCATGTTTGTGCTTGCGAAGTTTATTTGATAATAATCCGAAGCCAAAGTGTAGCAGTGACGACAACAACACACAGTTGCGAAGCACGCGCTGTCCAGCTGAGGTTTCATGTACTATATACATAAGTATGTATGTAATGTAGTGTATATAATATATATGTACATATGTTTAGCTAGCATTGTGCTTCGATAATTGTGCTAATCAAATAGTCTGATTTCATTTGACCATATCAATATTTATACAAATACTTGCGCAAACACTCATATGTATGCCGACTAAAGCGCGCACGAGCTTCTACATTTGTTACCAACTATTTTACAAACACACATATGTACATACATATGGTATGGCGCATTCTTCTTAACCCTTCCTGCCATTTTGCAGTTGTCCATTATTCATTTGAATACTACTTACACTGTGGCATTTTTATCATCACTATAGGTCATCCAATAGATACCGAATGAGTCCTCACGCAAGAGGCCTTTGTATAAAATTTCTAACCGATAACGTTGCCCCTCCTCGAAAGCTGCATAATTTTCAATCGGATGTATGATCAAGTAGCTGCCATGCTTCTCATAAGTGTAGGTGAGGTCAAGCAGCTTTTCGTTTGTGTGCAGTTCAAGCATCGTAAYCGCCGTAACGGTAATATTTTTTGCATGCAATACAATTTCATTGGTCGTTTCGCGTATATCAATGTCAATAGTCATATTGCCCGTGAACTCGAAAATCTCCCGATGTATGCGCGTTGTAATGTGTAGGTGATAATGTAACGGGAATGTGGTGTTCGGCAGACGCAGCGAACGTGTTATTTTTTTCGCTGCGTCCGTGTGATTTGTTGCAGCGCCCACGTCTACGGATGTTGGTGGTGTTGTTGTTGTGAAGGAGCGCGGATTTTCGGGGTCGACAACAATATCTCTTTCCGTCGCGTTACCGACACTTATGTGAAATAGCACAAGCGCGAACAACAGCACATGGAGTTTATTACGGTACAAAAAGCATGGCTTTAAAGCACACTTTCTGATTATAGTCTCTGACATTTTCTATATTTGTTTTGGAATTTTCTGATTGATTTTAAAAAACTTTCTTTAGCATTTAGCTTAGATCATTAGTCGAAGTATGTCTTTACTGTGTGATCGTCGAAACCGTTATGTGCTTGTACTCGTCTCGAGTTTTAAACCGTTACTGAAATCAGTATTGAGTGATCCGCAAGTTCCATGTTTAATTGTGTACACACAATATATTCAGCCTTTAGCCTTTATTTAGGTGCTCTTGCGCTTTGTAAGACTTCACGTCTGTTTGCTCACTTGACAGTAAATATAGACAGACGGACATACATTTGGCAGACTGATAAGATAATGAATTGAGTATTTTTTATGCGCAATTTATTTCGGAGCGTGTCTCAATCAATTGAGTGAACTGTGCATGAATTTCTGGTATGGATCAGTACAAGGTGTCGTTGTTTGTATATTAATTTGATTATTTGTCGAAGTGGGGTATTTTTGCGAATTTTTGTGTCCGATTTTTTTTTTTTTTGTTTGCACTTCACCAACTAGTGATTAAGAACACTTTCAGCTCATCAGAGTCCTGGTCGTTGCGGTAGCCCAAGAATCAGAGTCATTCACGAGATTGGTATCGTTTTAAGTCCAAATCTAATATGAAGACATCTAATATTGGGACAATCGGAAGTGCCTTAGAAAAACGAAAATTCCCTTTATCCTACCCGCTTATGTTGGGTCATCTTGATCAATGCATTGTTACTTATGCTCGACGGGGAGAACTCCAAGGTCCTCTGCTGTTCAAGGTTAAATCTTAATCGCTTATCACTGCTTATAGAACGGACTCTTGAGATCTCCGCCAACAGGGCATAGGGTCACGGACTAACTGTCAATTCGGAGCAAACAGAAATCTATCACTTCCGAAGAATGAAGAACTTGCCAGTTCAATTTCCCCTCCTTAAAGTAGAACGAGATATAGTTCTCTGTCTAAATTCTCGGAATTATTCTATTTGGTAATGCTTACTTACGTGTAGCCAACTCATGATTTTAGGTTATAGGACAGACTAGGTCTCACTACGGGCATTTCGTCCTAYTCAACATTGTTAATGAATTCGGGCTAAGATGGTAAACATTACCTGTGTACCGGACATTCAATCCCCCTTAGCTACTACAGGCCATTCAGCTGCTTCAAGGGTTGTTTACAGCGATGGATCCTAGAGCAGCACCTCAGGCCTTGAAACACAAGCAATTCATACCCAATATCACAAAGTTCTTTTGGAGTTGTGTTGATGTTGCGGCCTGCCTTAGCAATCATCCAAGCAACCACAAAGTGTGGCATATCTGTGATATCAAATGTAAAAATCAGCGACAAATTAAACTAAGTCAGGAACAGGTATCACTATAGTTGACGAGAGCTTTGCTTGGCAAAYCTTACTTTAACAACGAAGCTGTGAAACTGAAGAGTATGGATGAACGGTAATACAAATGGCGACTGTTGTTTAGCAAAACATAAAARTATGAAACATTTTGCTTCGATTTGYTGCATTTCGTCCCGTCGGTCAAAGCAAATGCATGAAGCAAAGCGTTTCAAAGGTTGTGTGTGAATCAGCCCGAAGTTAACGCCAACTCAATCCCAAGAGGTGAATCAACTATACTCCAGGTCGGGATTCAATCTCGTTATTCGACATTTAAAAAACGATTTTTGTAAAGACTAGCCTTGGGTAGGTAATCGCATAACCTTATGGGTATTTCTGTAATGAAAAGGTCTTATTGATACCCCCTCTGTCGTTTGGAGACACCCTTAAGCTTGTGGGAACTTTCTAATACTTATCTTTATCGAAGCAAAATCGTTATTGCGAAAATATATATACATATATATCAGTAATTTCTGGAAGAGCTTTTCATTATTTAAAATCAAAATGGAGGATACCTAATTTTTGCAATCGAAACATAAATTTAGTAGCCACTGCTTTTAAACAGAAAAAAAGTATTTGCGGGGTTTTAAAAAATTCTTTTAAAATTGAGTAAGCACTTTTGGTCGTTGGTAGAGGTGAAAAAAAAAAAATAATCTGTGAAATTCTGGCTATATTTACAAAGTAATAATAAGCTGCCATGTTGCGCTAGATAAATGTATTCCAAGCTGAGTGAAATATTTATGGTAAAATTAGTATCTATTGTCTTATCTATCTATATTATATACATTTTTTTTTGTGGCGAAAAGTTACAAACAAATCACTGCTTACTTTTTTCAATTATTTAACCAATTTTTWTGCGTTCTTTCTCTTTTCTTCAAAACGTGTTATTTATTAGTACATTGCATTTATACTATAATCTAGATATATGYATATTATGTCTATCTTTCTCAAACATTCTGCAGTTTACAAGTACGTCAGTATTTTAGTCTGCATATCGTCACCTGAAATGCAAAATAACGTAACCACAGTTTCGGAAATATACAGTGGCATGAATGAAACACGAAATAAAATGGAACATGAATGAAAAAAAGAGTTAAAACTGGTTTATATCCCTCAAAATGTTGAACATATGTAATATTATGTATGTAATTTGAAGTAGTGATGTGTAATCAATAAGACTCAATTTCGAATTTTTTCGATGATACGTTATTTTGCATTTGAGGTGACGGTATGTAGATATGTATACAGTTATATGGGCTACTTAATTTTTAATTTTCCAAATTGTTTACACAGTAAACAATGATGCGCAGTGACGCATTGTTGACTCATTTGGAGTTCTGCAAAAAAACATGTTTAATATTTTTTAGATATTTCGTAGTTCTAGCAATAGATATGGTGCGTGGTCTGCTGATACTGAAGAAACTGATTTGAGAATGACTAGTTTAATTTGTAATGCTAAAACATACTAGTATTTATTTGTATGTCTATTACAGACGATGACTTCAAAAAAGTACGAAACTGTCATCGATTTGAGTATTTGTTTAAGTAATTTATAGATCAATTAGACTTAAGATATATATCAAGTTTTTAACAATGTACAAGTGCTAGGCCAATTGAAAGTAGTAAAAGTCGGGAGTCATTACGTTCGATACACAATTATATTGACATTATTTTCAACTACACATCTAGATGTGTATAAGAGACAGGTTTTTAACAATGTACAAGTGCTAGGCCAATTGAAAGTAGTAAAAGTCGGGAGTCATTACGTTCGATACACAATTATATTGACATTATTTTCAACATCTCATTGCTAATAGAATATCTCGGTACGAATATTACCTCTTTCTTTCTCCAGATAGAGTTTAAAAATGCTCTATCACCTTGATAAGTTAGAGATTTTTTTTTGGCGAGGGCTAATGTTGAACAGTAAATAATGATGATATACGATTTAAGTTGATTATTATAAAATGTTAGCTATGTAAATGACTTCTCATTCACGAAGGGAGTTTTTCTAGTGAGATTACGTGTCGCAGAAGATCAATCGTTCGACAAGGTATCCGTTCAAAAAACCATCTGCCACTAATAAAATGAAAATTAACGAGTTTTACTCCAATATTTGACAACGGATGAGCTCTGAAACGTTCTCCCCGCAAAAACAAAAAAATAGTTGACCGACAAGGTTCATGCAAGAATTTTATGAGATTCGTATAAAATTATTTTTTCCGATCACCTCGAAGATTTTGAAATTTCCTTCGATTTTATACAATTTTTTGCAGATTTAAAAAACGGTTAGTAAAGGATTGATAATTTTTGAAAACATAAAAATTATAGTATGCTTTTTACACATAACCTCAAAATTTATGTGAAAATTCACCTAAAACAGCCTCGGATTTGGGTTATTTTTGTACGATTTTTTTTATCTTGTATGATTTGTTGTAAATTTACCTTCTTATGTCGTAAAAAGTTTACATTTAATTTAAAATATTTACTTTTTTCTTCTTATATTAATTTAATATCCGGAAGATATTATTGATATTAATTTTAGTGGGATTGTCTTTGAAAAATGAAACACATTGTCAATTCCCTATAAATTTTCGAACATCTCCAAACAATGCGAAGGCATTTTTAGGGAAGGAAATTAAAAAAGCCCGGAGGGATCACATCTGAGCTGTAGGATACCTACGGAAGCGTTGGAATGTCGGCTTGGTTAGGTAGCTGTTCACAAGAATGGCGGTGTGTTGTCGTGGTGAAATTTYCAATCGGGTACGATGTCTCGTTGAACCTGATTGGCTCTTCGTCAACTTGACATTGACRGTTTGTCCAGAAGGAACAAATAGTCAATGTGCATCGTTTTCACTTTGGATTTGCTCATTCMAAAAAGGCTTGGTGTCACCAAAACACTCTACTTCTTGCTAAAACAAYATCTGGCTAAGCCTGCTTGATTATATCAAARSTCGCTGATTYAMCGACWYAGAATTTAATCGCGTACCTCTGCTCTAACGGCTTGCACCACTTACAGAAACACGTCGGCCGAAAATGTGTGTCCAGGAGCTCGACTGGCCAACCGCTCGTTCGTTAGCTCGGAACACCCTTTACCGAATCCAGTCGGTGCGCGTACGCTCCGAAGTACAGTCGCGGCGGATGAAAATCAGTCCTATTATTTTTCTGAGAAATCCTGTTTATATGACAKAGGGATAAAAATGGGAACTTTAAAACAAAAATTAAAGTTTTTTATTACAATTTTTAATCTCTGAATTGTATCCAAAATAATACGGTACTTATAAGCAGCTGCTATTAAGAACGTTTTTTGGTTATTTTCTCTTCTTGGATTCTAAGTTGAAAGTGAAACATTTCTGGATGTTTGATTAATTTTTTTTCTTCAAACTTTTTGTGTATCTGCTTTTTTTTAACAATTCGATGAAATATATAATTTCAAATGATTTTCCAAAGTAGTGATAACCTACCAACCAGTTGAAATAGATTATAACCTTCTACCATTTAGTTTGAAATCCCTCTGCATTACATGGAAAATTATTCTAAACTGGTACGGCTTTCCAGAAGAGAGCTCTGTTTACCTCGAATGTGTGTCGCAATGTTTCTTCCGACTTCGAAAATGATTGTGGTTTCGTCAAAAGTGTGTGTTTTTTGACAAATGTTGCATCGTAATTTCCGTAAATCCCGCAGTCTGACACTGACGTTGTTTACAGCTTATTAGTCAGCAAATTCTCGATTTAACAAAAAACAAAAAACAAAAAA